TTTTACACACTGTTAATGTAAATAGTAATTGTTTTGTATTCTTCTTTGTGGGAGGAGAAAATTGATGGACTGTTAGTTTGACTAGTGTGGTTGGAGAGATAGTAATTTTATTTTTTAACTTACTGTTTATTATTCTTTTAATAGTGTTTAATTTTTTAAATAAAAATTATTTTAATGTATTTGGAATTTTATATATTCATATATATATATATATAAAGTAGTAAAATAAAAATATATTTTATATACATATATATAAACTTTTGGAATTTTATATATTGTGAAGTTAGAAATAAAATTAACTTTTTTTTTTTCCCTTGAACTCACTGTGTACTCATTTTGTGTTCAATAATTCTCCTTTCCTTCCAGAAGGGAAAATTCTTTTCCTGCAGAGGAGGTGAAGCAAGAGAAGACTCTGAGGTGTGGGAAGGTCCCACACAAAATTTGTTTGGTTAACCTCAGATTCCCTGGCTCAGAACACACCCACAGCCTCTCCAGGGTTATTTTTTTGTTTGTTTTTTCCCTCTTTCCTTCCTGTAAATCAAAGTCTCTGAGCTGAATTCTGTCCTTTATAAAAATAACGTCAGGAGGAGACAGCAAGGTGCAGAAAAAACAGAAATTAGATCATTCACACCTAGAAAACCAAAAATTCTACCCCATAAAAACCAATTAAAAATGCAAATTCTATTAAAAAATAAGAATCAGTTCACACAACAATCTATTCTAGCAAAAAGCCATTCACACCTAGAAAAGGAAAAAAAATCCACCCCATAAAAACCAATTGAAAAATACAAATTCTGTTAAAATATCTTAAAAAATAAGAATGCATTAACACAGCCATCTATTCTAGCAAAAAAGCCATTCACACCTACAAAAGCAAAAAATCTACCCCATAAAAATCAATTAAAAACCAGAAATTATATTTAAAATTCCTTAAAAATAAGAATCAGTTCACACAACAATCTATTCCAGCAAAGAAACCATTCACAACCACAAAATCAAAAAATCTACCCCATAAAAACCAACTAAAAAATACAAATTCTATGAAAAAGCTTTAATTCCATTTTTCTCTCAACACTGTGTGTCCTATTCTAAATCTTAAATCAAATTTCTAATCTCAGATTTTCCAAACACATCCTGTGAGCCTTCTGTCAACCTTTAATTCCATTTTAAATCAAATTTCTAATCCCAAATTTTACACACAAAAATACACCCTGTGAGCCTTCTCTCAAGCTTTAATTCCATTTTAAACCAAATTTCTAATCTCAAATTTTACAAATACACACTCTGAGTCTTCTATCAAGTTTTAATGCCATTTCTCTCTCAACATTTTCTGTCCTATTCCACATTTTAAATCAAATTTTACATAAAAAAAAGATTTCCTCCATTTCCCAACCTCCTGGTGAGGAGATAAAAAAATCCAGATAAAAACTGGATAAAAGTTATTTACTGGGGCAGCCCTCAGGTGTGCAAGAACAGGTCCTGGCAGGTCATTAAATTATTTTAAATTGTTCTACTGGAACTGCAGCCACACCCCTAAAATCAGCTTCATCTGCCAAGCTGGAGCTGAGACAAACTTTAACATTTTAATTTAATTTAATTTAATTTAAACATTTTAAATTTTAACACTTAAATCACGGAATGAAAAACATGAAAAATAAAGTGAATTTTCATTCTTTTCATTGTAGCAACTGGGATTTATAAGGCGAGGTGGGTTTGACACAGAGCTGGAGGTGGTTGTTAATTATTAGGAGATGTTTCATCAGGTTTTTCTTCATCTTGGGTAATATTTTTTATTTTTTGGAGGGTTTTTTTTCTCCCTGTGTGTGGTAAAAAAAGAGAATTTGATTTTTTCAAAGGCTGTCAGTGCAGGAGAAGAAACCAGCTGGAAAAATGGCACAAATCTTCTGTGGGAGGTGCACAGGGACTCTGGATGCAGCAGGAAAAAGAGAATTATTCCTACACTGGGATGGGAAACCATCCCAAAATGAAATTTTAACATTAAAAAAATTAAAAATCAAAAAAAAATTAAATTTAAATATTTTTCTAAAAATTTAGGGGTTTTTTTTAAATTTCATTTTGAATGATTAACTTGGTTTTTCTTTTTCCTTCCTTCTAATCTGAGGATTTCTCAATATTTGGGGTGTAAAGTTCGAATAATTCACCCTGATTCTTTTTTTTCCTTCTAACCTCAGGATTTCTCAATATTCAAGGTGAAAAGTCTCAATAATTGAACTTGGTTGTTTTTTTTCCTTCTAACATCAGGATTTCTCAATATTTGTGGTGTAAAATCTGAATATTTCAACTTGATTCTTTTTTCTTCCTTCTCACATCAGGATTTCTCAATATTCAAGGTGTAAGGTCTGAATAATTTAACTTGATTATTTTTTTTTTCCTTCTAACACCAGGATTTCTCAATATTTCGGGTGTAAAGTCTCAATAATTGAAATGGGTTATTTTTTTTCCTTCTAACCTCAGGATTTCTCAACCCTCCAGGCTCTCACAATTTAAATATTTCCCCTTCTGCACATCCTCCAAGCCTCCTGAAGCAGCCCAGCTCATTTCTCCAGCCTCATCTCTTGTTCTCCCTCTGAAGGCAGAGTCTGGCCTTGGGGGAGAGAGTTCATCATTCCAGGCTAAAAAAGTGGTTTTTGGTAAAATTCCAGCTTTGGGAGCTCTGAGAGCTCTTTTGTTTTTCTGGACGGGGCAGACAGAGCAGAGTGATGCTGCCTGAATGCTCAAAAAGCTGGCCTGGAGCCCACAGAGAGAGGAAATAAATAAATGGAAAAAAATGGAATAATAAATGATATTGAAATAAAAATTAAATTATATATAAATAAATAAATGAAATAAATAAATAAAGGCATCAATCAGTGCTGGCATCAGCAGGAAAAGGGTCAGGGACATGTGGGACACACATCTGGGCACACATATGGACACACATCTGGACACTGAGGTCACAGCTCTGCCTCGGGGCCGCCACCCAGCCACAAGGGAATGGGATGAGAGTGGGGGAAAAAAGGGGAAAAGGTGGGAAAATCCTAAAGATACAGGAGGGAAAAAATGGAAAATCCTAATGATAGGTGAAAAAAAGGGGGGAAAGGTGGGGAAATCCTAATGAAAAAAAAAAGGAAAATAAAGGTGGGAAAATCATAAAGATACATGGGAAAAAAAGAGGGGGAAAAAAGGGAAACTTAATTAAAAAGGGGGAAAAAAAGGAGTGGAAAAGGCGGGTAAATCCTAATGATATTTGGGGGGGGGAAAGGAAATAAAGGTGAGTAAATCCTAATGATAAGGGGGGAAAATGGGAAATAAAGGTGGGTAAATCTTAATGATGGGGGGAAAATAAAGGGGGAAAAGGTGGATAAATCCTAGTGACAGGCATAAAAAATGGGAAATAAAGGTGGATAAATCCTAATGATAGACAGAAAAAGGGAAATAAAGGTGGATAAAGCCTAATGATAGACAGAAAAAGGGAAATAAAGGTGGATAAATCCTAATGATAGACAGAAAAAGGGAAATAAAGGTGGATAAATACTAGTGTCAGGCAAAAAAGAAAAGGGAATTAAAGATGGCTAAATCGTAATGATAGAGAAAAGAAGGGAAATAAAGGCGGGTATAGGGTAATGACAGACAGAAAGAAAAGGGAAATCAAGGGGGACACATCCTAATGGATGCTGAGCGAGCAGAGGATCGATAAAAGCCGTTCCGCCTCTCTCCAGGGCACAGCCCCGGATCGCTGCGGGATCCCCGGGGAGCCACCCGCGGCCCGAGCCTCGCACAGCCCCGCAGCCCCGGAGCTCCCGTTCCCCAAAAACCACAAAAATGACAAATCTGCCAGCCCAGCCCCAGCCCAGCCACGGAGCGCCGCAACCCTTCTGCGCGGAGCCAAGCGTTTCTACAGAACCATTACATGCTCGGGAAACCATTTCTGAACAAAACGCGAGCTGCTGTGGGGGTTTTTTGTGGCCTTTTTTTTTTTTTTCCCCAATAAACAGATTCCGAGGAGGAACGACTCGAAACATCTGCAGGAAGCAGAACACCCCCCAAAAATAACTCCTTCCCCTGCACACACATGAAGCCCAACTCGCTCCTGCTGCCTTTTGTCTGTATTTCACTCATGCAGGCGGCGGCGGCAGCAGCAGCAGCAGCCCCGAGCCCCTCCGGGATTGCTCCGGGCATGGAGCCGGGATGCTCCGGGGCACAGAGCCGGGATGCTCCGGGGCACAGAGCCGGGATGCTCCGGGGCACAGAGCCGGGATGCTCCGGGGCACAGAGCCGGGATGCTCCGGGGCACAGAGCCGGGATTGCTCCGGGCACGGAGCTGGGCACGGAGCCGGGATGCTCCGGGGCACGGAGCCGGGATGCTCCGGGGCACAGAGCCGGGATGCTCCGGGCACACCGCAGCGGCAGCGCCCGGAGCGTGGCTGCTCCTTCCCCGCCAGCCCCGCAGTGGCCTGAGGAGGATGCGAGCACAGCCAAGCCACAGCCTTTGTTGTCACAGCCCAGATTCCTCCCAGACCGCTAAAAAAAAAAAAAAAAATCCACCCTCCGAGAGATGGGAATGCGAGTGCACGGAAAATGAGTGTGTTCCACCGCCGCGGCTCCGCGGGGCACCGGCCCGGCCGAGCCCCGCGGGGGATGCGCGTTCCCAGCGGGATGCGGTGCTGGCGGATCCCGAATTGTTCGTCTGCCAAGTGCCCAAACGCGGCGGGGCTGCGGGACACGGAGGGTGCGGGGACGGGAAGCCGGGATGCGGGAGGGATGCGGGCACGGCAGGGAAGGGAGGGTGCGGGGACGGGAAGCCGGGATGCGGGAGGGATGCGGGCACGGCAGGGCAACGCCTGCGGCCCGAGGCACCGCCGGCTGAGCGAGCTGGGCCCCGGCTCCGGCCCTTCCCGGGCCCGGTCCCTCTGCCCGGGCGCGGCCCTGCCCGTCCTCCCGTCCCCCCCCGGCACCGCCCCGAGCCCTTCCCGGGGCGGCCGCGGCGGCCCCGCGCTCACCGGAACCGGGGCGAGTCCTTGATGCACTCCTCGAACTCCACCGTCATCCTGCCGGCTCGGCCGCGCTGCGCTCAGCGGAGGAAGCGCATCGCCCGCCGGCCCCGCCACAGCGCCCGCCCCCCGCGCCGGCCCGCCTCCTCCCGCGGAACCGGCACCGGCACCGGCCCGGCCTCCCACGGCACTGCCACGGAACCGGGGATAGCACCGGCACCGGCCCGCCTCCTCCCGCGGAACCGGGTACAGCACCGGCCCGGCCTCCTCCCGCGGAACCGGCACCGGCACCGGCCCGGCCTCCTCCCGCCGAACCGGGTACAGCACCGGCACCGGCTCGCCTCCTCCCGCGGAACCGGCACCGGCCCCGGCCCGGCCTCCTCCCACGGAACCGGGTACACCACCGGCCCGCCTCCTCCCGCGGAACCGGGTACAGCACCGGCACCGGCCCGGCCTCCCACGGCACTGCCACGGAACCGGGGATAGCACCGGCACCGGCCCGCCTCCTCCCGCGGAACCGGCACCGGCACCCGCCTCCTCCCGCGGAACGGCACCGGCACCGGCCCGGCCTCCCACGACACTGCCACGGAACCGGGGATAGCACCGGCACCGGCCTAGCCTCCCACGGCACCGGGGACAGCCCCGGTACAGCCCCGCCAGGCTCCGATCCGCCTCCGGCAGAGCCACGCACAGAACCGGACTGGCTCCGTCACACCGGGCACGGCACGGACACGGCCCGGACACGGCCCGGACACGGGACGGACACGGCCCGGACACGGCCCTGACCCCCTTCCTCACACCGGACACGGCCCTGGCCCCTCTGGCCACCCCCGGCCCCCAAATCGCACCCTGGGGCGCCTCCTCCCCACCGCCTCCCTGGGCAGCCCTTCCAAAGGCTGAGTGCCCCGGGCAGGATTTCCAGAACAGCTGGATTTCAGCTTTCCAACCCGAACCATTCCATGATTTCCAGAACGGCTGGATTTCAGCTTTCCAACCCAAACCATTCCATGATTTCCAGAACGGCTGGATTTCAGCTTTCCAACCCAAACCATTCCATGATTTCCAGAAGAGATGAATTTCAGCTTTCCAACCCAAACCATTCCATGATTTCCAGGCAGGACTTGGAGAATTTCAGCTTTCCAACCCAAACCATTCCATGATTTCCAGAAGAGATGAATTTCAACTTTCCAACCCAAACCATTCCATGATTTCCAGAAGAGATGAATTTCAACTTTCCAACCCAAACCATTCCATGATTTTCAGAAGAGATTAATTTCAACTTTCCAATCCAAAACATTCCATGATTTCCAGGCAGGATTTACAGAATTTCAGCTTTTCAAGACAAACCATTCCATGATTTCCCGGCAGGATTTCTAGGCAGGAAGAACAAACCCATTCCATGGGTAAAATTCCATAACCAGCAGCAGGATTGGCACCCTCCTTAATCTAGTTTTTAATTTTCCATAGGCAGGGGATAAATCTGCAGGAATCACTGGGGGAAAGGAGCACATCTGGATTTTTGGGTCCAGCTGAACTGAACTCCATTACCACAGGACAGGCAACACAATGTGGCTCGGGCTAATTGAGGTTAATTAATCCTGATTTTCCGCCCACCCAGCACCACAGACACAGCAGCAGCAACCACATCGTGCATTGATGGTTTGGGGTGAACTTTCTGTGAACTGGGAGAAGGGCCTGACGTGGAAATCCCGTGGTTGAAGAAAATTCTACATCTAAATGGAAGCCACGAGTGAAGCAACAGGACCAGGGGAACCTGGCAGATGTCACAAGGAGGCCTCACCCAGCCATGGACAGGAACAGCGATGAAATTTAATGTTTAATGCCATTTTTACACACAAATTATAGCCAAATTTCACCTCTACACCAGGGTCTCATTTCCATCTGAGCTCCCAGAAATGAAATTTGATGTTTAATGCCATTTTTGCACACAAATCAACACCAAAATTCACCTCCAGACCAGGCTCTTGTACTTAGACCTTGATTTGTCGGCCACAGCCAAGAGTGAGAGCAAAAATCTGAATTATTTAAGAGTTATCAGGGGCTGGAGTGTTCTGAGGAATTCAGGGGAAGGAATTAGCCCTGGCCCAGGAGAAGGAGCTCTTGTGGTTTGTTTTGTGAGGTTTCACAGAGGTCAAACCAACCCCTTCTTTTCCGTGGTGCCTTTTTGTGCTACCTAAAAACAGAGGCAAAATGAAAGAATGAAAATGAGGCAAAACAGACAAAATGAAGAGAATAAAAATCAGTTCTGTTTATTGAAGGGCCTTCAGGTACATTTAGGGCAGTCAAAACCCTCCAAAAATGGACAGCAAGTCATAGTTTTTTATATTTTTATAAGTTTGGTCCATTTGCATATTGGGGGTGAATTTTCCAATTACAGCTTCAGGTAATGAAGGAATTTACCCCAAGTTTGCTCCCCCCAAACTCATTTTTGTTTGACTTTTATTGGGGCCTGAGGCAGTGAGGTGTCCTTGGTTGCCAGGCCTGGAGAGGAATTTTGTGTCTGCCCAAAATGGGAAACACAGTAAGTTACACTGTACATAGAATTTAGATACATTAAAAATATTAAATACATAAAAAGATATATTTATTATATTATTGTAAAATATATATTATTATAAAATATAAAAATTAATATATAAATATATAAAAATATTAAAAGAACAGCCTGGCTGCCATTGTGTGCCCTGAAAGCTGCCTGGCTTTTGCCATTCAGATCAGATTTCAGACTTGCATGAGGGGAATTTTTCTCTCCAGGGATTTTTCTCTCCCCTTCCCTGCTCTACCAATGAGCTGGTGCTTGTTTGTGCTGGTTTGAGGTTCTTGCCCATCCAGATATTGCAGTTCAGTGTTTTAGGAGGAGTTTTAAATACAGATTACAGGCATTGAGAACATCTGCAGCCTTTGTGTTTTACCATTTTCTTGGTTTATTTTTGTCCCTGGGGCTGTTATTTCCTCTCAGCTGTTCCTGACACATCTCTCCAGGCTGAACTGGATGGTTTGGGATTGCCTGGAACGCCTGTGCTGGCAGGATTTGGGTTGGAAGGGACTTTAAAAATCATTCAGTTCCCACCCCCTGCCATGGGCAGGGATCCCAGGGTGCTCCAGCCTGGCCCTGGCCACTTCCAGGGATCCAGGGGCAGCTGCTCTGGGAATTCCATGCCAAGGAAGCCATTCCCTGTGTCCTGTCACCCTGTCCCTTGTCCCCAGTCCCTCTGCAGCTCTCCTGGAGCCCCTTTAGGTCCTGGAAGAGGTTCTGAGGTCTCCCTGGGGTCTTCTCCAGGTTTTGAACATTCCCAGTTCTCCCAGCCTGGAAGCATCTCTTGTGGCCCCTGCTTTATGTGTGCTCTTAGCTGAAATCAATACAACAACAACAATATTATTGTTATTATTATTATTATTTATTAATTTCTTTCATCCAGCTGAGTGACAGGCAGCACAGCTGGGGAGCTGAGGAGCATCCCAGGTGAAGCACAGGGCTCCAGAGGGGTTTGATGTTTGCACAACACCCCAGTTCCCATCAGCACACCCCAGTTCCCATCAGCACACCCCAGTTCCCAACAGCACATCCCAGTTCCCATCAGCACATCCACAACTCCCGTGATCACATCCCAGATCCCCCATGAGCACATCCCGAGAAAATCCCACATCCCAGAACTACATGAGCACATCCCGAGCACATCCCAGATCCCCCATGAGCACATCCTGAGAAAATCCCACATCCCAGATCCCCATGAGCACATCCTGAGCATATCCCAGATCTCCATGAGCACATCCTGAGAGAATCCCACATCCCAGATCCCCATAAGCACATCCCGAGCACATCCCGAGCACATCCCGAGCACATCCCACATCCCCATGAGCACATCCCAGATCCCCATGAGCACATCCCGAGCACATCCCAGTTCCCCATGAGCACATCCTGAGAAAATCCCACATCCCAGATCCCCCATGAGCACATCCTGAGCACATCCCAGACCCCCATGAGCACATCCCGAGCACATCCCACATCCCCATGAGCACACCCTGAGCACATCCCAGATCCCCATGAGCACATCCTGAGAACATCCCACATCCCAGATCCCCATGAGCACATCCCGAGCACATCCCAGATCCCCATGAGCACATCCCGAGCACATCCCAGATCCCCATGAGCACATCCCAGATCCCCATGAGCACATCCCAGATCCCCATGAGCACATCCCGAGCACATCCCAGATCCCCATGAGCACATCCCCGTCCCGTTCCGTTCCGCCCCGCCCCGTTCCGTGCCGCCCCGGCGGAAGCGGCGCTGCGGCGGCGGGAAGGGGCGGCGCTGCCCGGCCACGCTGCCGCTCCGCTCCGGCCCGTGCCGTGCCGTGCCGGCTGTCCCGGCCTGTCCCGGCCTGTCCCGGGCCCTGCCCGGCCATGGCCGCTGCCCCTGCCCGGTACCTGGTGTTCTTTCAGTACTTGGGCACCAGGTACAGGTACGTGCCCCGCCGGGCCCGAGCCACGGGCGGCAGCGGAGCAGCGGCGGGAGGGACGGAGAGAGGGATGGGAGAGAGGGATGGGAGAGAGGGATGGAGAGAGGGATGGGAGAGAGAGGGATGGGAGAGAGGGATGGGAGAGGAGGGATGGGAGAGAGAGATTAGGGACAGACAGGGTAGAGCCTGGGGATAGAGACAGGGGATACAGCTTGGGGATAGAGCCTGGGGATAAAGTTTGGGGGTAGAATTTGGGAATAGAGTTTGGAGAGGGCAGAGTTTGGGGGTAGAATTTGGGGACAGAGTTTGGAGAGGGCAGAGTTTGGGGACAGAGTCTGGGGACAGAGTTTGCAGAGGGGAGAGTTTGGGTGTAGAATTTGGGGACAGAGTTTGGAGAGGGCAGAGTTTGGGGGTAGAATTTGGGGATAGAGTTTGGAGAGGGCAGAGTTTGGGGGTAGAATTTGGGGATAGAGTTTAGAGAGAGCAGGGCTTGGGGATAAAGTCTGGGGATAGAATTTGGGAATAGAGCTTGGGGAGGGCAGAGTTTGGAATGGCAGGATTTGGAGAGAGCAGGGTTTGGGAGAGCAGAGCTTGGGGAAGAATGGATGACAACAATGTTTGGAGAGAGCAGAACTTGGGCAGCAGAATTTGGGAGAGCAGAGTTTGGGCAGGCCAGAGTTTGGGGAGGCAGCAAAGGGAACAGAGTTTGAGCTGGCAGAATTTAGACAGCAGAATTTGGGGAGAGCAGAGTTTGGAATGGCAGGATTTGGAGAGAGCAGGATTTGGAACAGCAAAGTTTGTCTCAAGGGCCAATCCAGAGAGGAGCATTTGAAGGATTATTTAATTTCCAACATCCCTTGTTGAAAATAACCACTTCTAATTTTAATAATTTTAATTTTAATAAGTTTAATAACCAATAAGGCACTTTCCCTGCACATTCTTCAGTGTTTGGTCCCTGCAAGTTCTGTGGGAAGATCCAGAAGTTCTGGATTTGTTGTTGGACTCTGTCAAGCCCTTAAATGTTGCCACACCTCAATAAATCATGTTTGTTCTGCTCTGCAGTGGGGTTATGGAGACCAAGAATGATCAGGCCCTGGTTGGAGTCCAGAATTATTTGGAGGTAGGTCCTGTTGTCATAAAAATGAGGCTTTTAGGGTCACATTGTTCAGCCCCAGAAATTATCAGGGGTAAATATAATTTAGAGACAGACAGTCAATAAAACAGAGTGGTAAACACTGTGAAGTTCAAAAGCAAATACCTAAAATGATGTCATGATTCTGACCTTAAAAAGATGTAAACCCTTCAATGAGACTTAATTAAGCCCAGAACTGACTCTGAGAGCTGCTGGCCCACCTGAGCTTTGTGGCTTGTCCTTAAAACTGCCTCCATGTCCAATTCCTTCATGGATTTAGCAGCTGGATGCTGTCTCCTCCCAGGAGAGGTGGGACACAGAGGTTTGCAGAACAAAGCACAGCAGGATGTCCATTGTTCCGTGCTGCTTCCATTTTATTTTTGGAATTCTGTTATGCCAGGGTTAAAAATAATTATGAACCTGTTATCTCTGCACTGCTCCCAGGGATTTCCTTGGACCTGGGAATGGTGTGAGGACCCCCAAGTGCTGTTTGGGCTGGCAGAGTGTGAACAGGAATGAAAAAAAACCCATTTTTACACCCAGGAGTGGAAAATGGGTCACCTGAGCGTCGTACTGCAATCTTGAATTTAAATTGTAAATTAATTACAAGCTGCTGTTGAGCTGCTGAGTCAGGGATGAAAAGGAAGGGGAATTATTTCTCTTGTCTTGGAAGCATCGTGGAGTTCAAAATAAAGCTTGGAAGATACGAGATTTTTGATGATTCCTGCAGGTCAGAGCACATTTTATCACTCAGCTCCCATTTGTGGTCAGTCTGTCTGACCCAAATCCCAAACTGCAGCACTTTGGGATGCTCTGCTCTGCTCTGCAGCCCTGGGGAAGGACAGAGCTGCCAGGAGCAGCTGTGGTGACACCCCAGTGACAAGGGCAGGACATCCCCACGGTCTGTGGGGCTGAGAATTCCTGCTGCTCTCACTGTGGTGCCTTGTGAAGCTAAGACAGAGGCTGGACAGAGTTACAGAATAAATCAGGGATTTATTAAAGGATCTCCTCATGGATCCACCTCGGACAGCACAAGAGGCCAGCCAGGGCTGCACCCAAGATGAACCAAAATGGTCCCAAAAAATGGATGATTGGTCACAAAATGATCAGTTCTGCTCCATTTGCACCTTGGAGTTCATTGTCCCATTCCAGCTTTAGCCCAGGCAGTCCCATCCTGCTTGTTTTTCTCTCTCCAGCCCACGGTGTTTGTGCTCCTGGGCTGAGATTTGGATCATTTGTCCTTGGTGCCCAGCTGGAGCAGGAATTGTTTTGTCTCTGCTCTGTGCAGAGCTCAGCATCCCCTCATGGGAAGCTCAGAGCCACACACTAAAGCAGCACAGAATGTGAAAATAGAAAAGCCAAAACCTGAGGCATCAGCACAGAATCTGAAAAATAGAAAAGCTAAACCTGAAGCATCAGCACAGAATGTGAAAAATAGAAAAGCTAAAACCTGAGGCATCAGCACAGAATGTGAAAAATAGAAAAGCCAAAACCTGAGACATCAACTCAAAAGGAAAGTGTGAGGAATTATGGCTGGAATCAAGAGTTCTCAGGGTGTTTTCATGTGGCTTCTTGCCCGAGACTATGGCAGAGAAAGTGGCTAAATGTTGTGCAGACCCTGAAAGAAAAACCCAAAAGGATTTTCTGTCCCATTTATCTCATCCTCTGAGCCATGCAGGGCCCCAGGCTCTGGACGTGGGGTGAGCCCAGCAGTTGTTCTGCATTATCCCAGGGATGTGTGAGCGGGCAGATGGGTAGGGTGGGTGATTAGAGGAGAAAAGAAGAGGAGAAAAAGACAAACATGAGCTTATTTGGTGTTGTCTTTTTCCCAGAATCAGCACTTTGCCGGCCAGCTCGGTGCTTTCATGTGGTGGTATTGATGCTGGGCACTGCTGTGTCTATTGCAACCACATGGGAAACCTTAAAGCAGCTTTAATAAAAAACTTCTGGGGCCTGCAGGAATTTCTTTTCCTTCCTCCTTTTCTCTGCAGCCTTGAACTTCACTGCTTTCCCCAAAGCCAGGAAGGCAAGCGAAGGGAAGGGCAAAACTAAAGCTGTAATGAGATCCTTATTGTGTTCTGAGGATGTTCAGCCATTTGTTTGCAAGCAGATGACCTGGGAGGTGCAGACGTGGTGTTCCCAGCAGCTGTTCTGTGGAATTTGGAATGAGCTGCTTGGGTTTGTGTCACTTTGGGCTGGGGCTGAACAGATCTGTGTCACTGCAAAGCTTTTTCTGTCCTTGCTGCTGCTCTGTGACAGAGCCCTGCGACTCTCCTTTCTTCCTTTGCAGAGGAAATGGAGCCTTGTTTTAATCCAGAGATACTTGTGGGAGCTTTTCATCTCTTTTTGAGGGGGTGAGCTTTGCTTGTAACATTTTATTTTTTGGAAACAAGTCTTGGAGCACTCAGAACCCCAATTCGAGCCCAAAGCAAATTCCAGGCCTTGTTTCCTCTGATTGGGAGCTTGGAGCTCTGTGATTTGTCTCCCTCCAGTTATTCATGGGAATTTTCACATCCAGGACTTCAGGCTCTCTCTCTTCTAGGAGCTTTAAATCTGTTTTTGAGGGGGTGAGGTTTGCTGACAACATTTTATTTTTTGGAGACAAGTCTTGGAGCACTCAGAACCCCAATTCGAGCCCAAGGCAGATTCCAGGCCTTGTTTCCCCATATCCAGAGGATGTGATTTGTCTCCTTCCAGTTATTCATGGGAATTTTCACATCCAGGATTTCATGCTCTGTCTCTTCTAGGAGCTTTTCATCTCTTTTTGAAGGGGGTGAGCTTTACTGGCAACATTTTATTTCTTAGAGACAAGTCTTGAAGCACCAATTTGGGCTCAAAGCAAATTCCAGGCCTTGTTTCCCCACATCCAGAGGCTGGAGCTGAGATTTGTCTCCCTCCAGTTATTCATGGAAATTTTCACATCCAGGACTTCATGCTCTGTCTCTTCTAGGAGCTTTTAATCTCTTTTTGAAGGGGGTGAGCTTTGCTGGTGTAATTTTACTTCTTGGAGACAAGTCTTGAAGCACCAATTTGTGCCCAAGGCAAATTCCAGGCCTTGTTTCTCCACATCCAGAGGTTGGAGCTCTGTAATTTGTCTCCCTCCAGTTATTCTTTGGAACTTTTAAGATCCAGGACTTCAGGCTCTGTCTCAATTCTCAGAAATGTGTCTGCTGGAAAGGAAGATCTCTCCTTTTGCTGTTGCTTGGGATCTGCAGAGTTCCCTTCCCTCTCAGGCTGCCTGAGCCATCTCCCGTTTCCCATTTTGTGGGAATTGCTGCCCAAACTCATTTTCCCCTGCCAAAAGCCTGTCTTGGCCAGCAGCCCTGTGCTGAGGGCAGATATTGTTCTGATGAAAGGAAAAGGGAGTAGGAGAGCAGAGGAAGGAGAAACAGCAGCTCCTTACTATGCAAGGCAGCTCTGGCACAACCTCCTTCCCCACATCCTTTAAAAGAAAAGAGCAAGAATTTCAAACAGAGAGAACTGTCATCTTCAGCCTCTGTTTTGATAATAATCCCAGTGACGTCGCAGATTGCTTTGGAAACCTTCTCTTCTAACAAAATCCACATTCTCAGCCTATCCTTCCTGGCATTCCCTTCCATTTTATCCCTCCTGCTGCAAACGAGCTGGCTTTTTAATTAGCTTAGCTGACACAGCACTCAGCCAGTCAGGGGTGACGTTTTCTAATTATTAGAACACTGTAATTAATAAATTGTGCAGCCTCTGTGAGGCCATTCCAGAGGATGAAACCATGATCAGTCAGGGAATAGAAATTTCTTTTTCCAAAACATTCCCAATGCTTGTGAAGGTCGATGGAAAATCTGGAGGATTTTTTAAAATTTAATTCAGAAAGGGGATGAACTTTTGTTCCCCTGCCATGGGTGATGTTCATCGCCCTGTTCTTCCCTCCAGCAGGAGAGGAAAAGTGAGCTGGGAGCAATAAAAGCAAGCTGGAATGTGGATCCATATCATTCTGGCAGCCAGCAGTGGAAATTCCAGCGTAATTCGAACTGGGGAAGGCTCAGTGAAGGAAGCCTGTTGGCAGGACACATTAATTGCACAGCTAAATGCAATTAATGCTTCCCCCTGCATCCCTGGCCTGTCTGAGGGATAAACTTTGCACCCTGGCTGCTCCAGGAATGTGGCTGTGTGGAAAAATTCAGGATACATTCCGATGGGTGAGATGTGAGTGGCATCCAGCAGGTGCCAAAGCCAAGATTTCCATTTTTATAGCACCTGCTATAAAAACTGAAAAATTATTAAATTAAAAATTTAACTACATTTTAATTAAATTTAAATTAACATTTTTAATATTAAAATTATTATTATTATTAAAACTATTTAAAAATAATTTTTAAAAATTTAAAAAAAAATGTTTCCTGTGCTTAAAGGCAGGAGCAGAGAGTTGGGAACTCTGAGCACACACAGGACAGCCCAGCTCCTTTATTCCTTTATCTTCTTCATTTCTTTTTAGCTGGGTAAAATCTTAACTCCTGCTTCACTCCCCCCCTGGGAGCCCAGAGATGATCCCAAACAGGATGGGGATCTGGATGAGCAACACTGAAACCTTTGGAGTTCCTCAGATGAAAGCCCTGCAAAAGCAGGAAAAACTGGTCCTTATCCAAGCAATTCCTGCATGTAAATAATGCACTTTTTTTGAAGTTCAGGGTGGGAGATATTAAGAGATTAAAGGAGAGGAGGAAACTTCAGTACTCAAAGGAATTTGGATATTCAGATAGGAGATATAAAGATGAAGGGGTCATTTCTTAGCTGCCTGCAAAGAGAAGTTCAGCAGTTAAGGAATTTTCTCTTTCAGGAGATTCTATCCCATCCAAAAGAAATGAAATATTAAAATTGAAGCTGGAGGCAGGAGTTGGTAGAATATTATCAGCGTGTGCTAGAGGAAAACTTCACAAAGCTTTCAGCTTCACAAACTGGGATTTGTTTGGTGGTGTTGATGGTGACATTCCTCCTTGGGATACTCAGAAAGGTGGGAAAAATCTGATGGAGAAGAGCAGCTTGTGGAAGGAAAACCCCCAGTCCTGCACCTTTGTGGATTTGCTGGCTGAGCTGAGCAGAGGAAATAATCAGATTTCCTTGAGACTTTGCTCCTGTTTTCCTCTCCAGTCTGGTTTTCAGTGGAGAAATTCAGTGTCGTGCTGATCCAGCTTGGCTCCTGATTATCCAGATGGAGCTGGGATGCACCAAAAAAAAAGGATATTTTCCATGTTCTTTCCTGTTGTCTCTCTCAACTCTTGTTTCCACTGGCTGGTTTTTGTCTGCTGAGGAAGGAGCGGGAGAAAAGGGTGGAGAGAGGGAAGGAGGAGCCTGCAAAACCCAAACATCTCTGGAGAAACTTTGCTCTTAAAAATCACCTCTCAGACAAATTGCTGAGGCACAGGCCAAGGTCTGCTGCAGGAAACCATTTCATTTCTGTCTGCTCCTCTTTGCTTGGGGGTGATAAATACAGATTTTATTTTTTAATTTTTTTTTTCACTCTTAATTGTAACCACATGTGAACTGCAAATGGATGAGGAAAATCCATTTGGTTCTGTTTCCCAGGCCTCCCCCTGCAGCTCGGTTACATTTTTCTCTGCCTCCCTGTGCATTTTCATGGAACATTTCTCAGAGCTCACAACCCTGGCTGCTCCAGCAGGAGTCTGGAAGGTATTTGTGAGTCAGCAATTCGAATTTTATTGAGTCTTGTACCAAATTAAAATCCAATCAAAACCGCTGGGTTTGCTGCTCGGGAGTGGGGATGGGAAGGAAAAGGAAATTTTGAGTCATTCCTCCGGTTTCCTGCCTTCATTTGTGGTTTTTCATTCTTTTGGATGTTTCACTTATTCCCTGCAGTAATTTTCACTGGATTTTCTGTCTGGGGTTTGGGTTGAAATGGGCTGAAATGGGTGATCCTCTGTCTTTTATCCCCCTCACCCAACGACACAAAGATGAATATTTATCACATGACAAAAGCAGAGGCTAGAGATGAGGAGTTCATTCTGACTTTATTTTGCCCCCCTAAGAATCTCTCATGGCATTTTTGATGCTCTGTGAGGTGATTTCAGGGCAGAAGCTACAAAAACACTGATTTTAGGAGAAATTCCTTCAAACACTCAAATCTTTTCAACCCACAGTAACTCCAAACTCTTTGGAAGCAACACAGAGGTGTGGTTAGCCAGGAGTGATGCCTCAGGTTTTAACTTTTATATTTTTCAGGTTCTCTAATGATGCCTCAGGTTTGGCTTTTCTATTTTTCACATTCTGTGCTGATGCCTCAGGCTTTGGCTTTTATATTTTTCAGGTTCTCTAATGATGCCTCAGATTTTGGCTTTTCTGTTTTTCACATTCTCTGCTGCTTTAGTGTGTGGCTCTGAGCTTCCCATGAGGGGATGCTGAGCTCTGCACAGAGCAGAGACAAAACAATTCCTGCTCCAGCTGGGCACCAAGGACAAATGATCCAAATCTCAGCTCAGGAGCACAAACACCGTGGGCTGGAGAGAGAAAAACAAGCAGGATGGGACTGCCTGGGCTAAAGCTGGAATGGGACAATGAACTCCAAGGTGCCAATGGAGCAGAACTGATCATTTTGTGACCAATCATCCATTTTTTGGGACCATTTTGGTTCATCTTGGGTGCAGCCCTGGCTGGGCTCTTGTGCTCCAAAGTGGATCCATGAGGAGATCCTTTAATAAATCCCTGATTTATTCTGTAACTCTGTCCAGCCTCTGTCCTAGCTCAGCTTTCACAAGGCATCAGGAGGAGGACATTTTTGCTAGATTATTGCCGACTTAATGCTGAATTATTGCTGAATTTTTACCTAATTATTGTCAAATTATTGCTGAATTATTCCTGGGTTATTGCTGAATTTTTGTTGAATTACTGCTGAATTTTTGCTGAATTATTGCCGAATTATTGCAGGATTATTGCTGAATTAACGGTGAATTATTGCTTAAATTTTGCCCAGTTATTGCTGGATCATTGCTGAATTATTGCTGAATTTTTTCTGAATTTTTACTGGATCGTTGCTGAATTATTGCATCTCTCTTCTCTCTTCTATCCCATCCAACCTGGAAGCCCAAACCTTTTCCTGCATGTTGGAGGGCATGAAGATGGATTATTACTGAATTATTGCTAGATTATTACTGAATTATTGCCGAATTATTGCCGAATTATTGCTGAATTTTTGCCGAGGTTTTGCCGAATTATTCCCGAATTGTTGCTGAATTATTTCTGATTTTTTGCTGAATTTTTGCCGAATTATTGCTGAATTTTTGCCGAGGTTTTGCTGAATTATTCCCGAATTGTTGCTGAATTATTTCTGATTTTTTGCTGAATTTTTGCTGAATATTTGCCAAATTGTTGCTGTTGCTTGCAGAGGGCAGCGGAGCGGCTGAAGCCCAGCGCTCCCATCAAGTTCCACATCTCCAGCCGGACGGACGCTGGTGTCCACGCCCTGGCCAACGCCGCCCACCTGGACATCCAGCGGCCTCCAGGCAAGGCCCCCTTCAGCAGCCAGCAGCTGGTCCAGGGGCTCAACCACCACCTCAGGCCCGAGCCCATCCGGTGAGGCAAAAATCTCCAATTTTAGCTTCTTTTTACTGCAAAAACAGGAAAAAACGCTCCCTATCCAAGCGGTTCCTGCATGTAAATAATGCACTTTTTTTGGAGTTCGGGGTGGGGGATATTAAGAGATGAAAGGAGAGGATGAAGTTGCAGTGCTCAAAGGAACTTGGGTATCAGCTAGGAGATATTTATAAAGATGAAGGAGTCATTTCTTAGCTGCCTGCAGAGAGAAGTTCGGCAGTTCAGGAATTCTCTCTTCTATCCCATCCGACCTGGAAGCCCAAACCTTTTCCTGGATGTTGGAGGATGTGGAGATGGGTCAGAGCTCTGATTTCCTTCCTCAAAAGCAGTTTGGGGGCTGATTTTAGAGCCACAGGGGGTAGCACTGCAGTGATCCATTTGTTGTGTCACCAACCACTGAATCTCAGTCCTTCTCTTCTGAATTTAAGCCTGGAATTAAGTTGTATTTTCAAGTTTTAACAGAATGAGCTGTCCCAGAGAGCTGAAAATGCTGATGGGTGCTCAGATCCATCAGCAGAGCCAGGTTTGTGATGCTGGTGCCTTGGGAAGGCTGAGCTGGAACAGAATTAAAGAATAAAGCAGGGATTTATGAAAGGAGCAGAGCTAAAGAATAAAAATAAAGCAGGGATTTATGAAAGGTTCTCCTCATGGATCCACCTCGGGCAGCACAAGAGCCCAGCCAGGGCTGCACCCAAGATGAACCAAAATGGTCCCAAAAAATGGATGATTGGTCACAAAATGATCAGTTCTGCTCCATTGGCACCTTGGAGTTCATTGTCCAATTTCCCATCCTGCTTGTTTTTCTCTCTCTCAGATCAAATCCTGGGTTTAATTCTAAACTTTGGCTTCCAGGCCCAAAGTTCTGAGAATTTTCTGCATTTCAGATTCCATTCCCCCAAAAATCAGAGAATATTTCAGAGTTGGAGCAGGAGGGCTCTGCTGTCCTCAGAGTGGGGCTGGCAGTGTGGGAGTCTCACACCTCCTCTTGGTTCTGTAACCACCCAGTAAAATTTGTCTGAGTGACAGCAGAGCTGGGATTCCTCCCACCTTCTGTAAAATTGGCTTTTAGGTGCTGCTGGTGGAGAGAGCAGGAAGATTTTTAGGATTTTTTTTGTCTCATACATTGCCATTTCTAATTAAATGTCTTTGGGCTTTTTTGTTTTTTTTTCTTCTTTGATCTCAAAATTCAGGCACTGTTGGAAATGGTAAAAAACGGAAAAAAAAAGCCACAGTTCTTTATTTACCATCATTTTTAAAAATGGGATCTCAGCAAGGCAGCTGCTGTAGAAAATTCTGGAAAAAATATTCCTGGCTAAAAGGAACAATTGCAACAGGAAAACCTGCCTGCACTGAGGAATTACATGAGCAGAAATAAGTTCCTCTGAGGGAATTTTACTAAAAGGATGATTATTTAATAAAAACCACCCCAGTGTTAGCTCAGGACAGACTGTGTGCTCATGGAGGCATGCAGAGGGAAATAAATTTATCCCAATAAAATCCTAATTTTATTCCTGTGTTTAGAGGGAGTTTGTATTTCTCCTGATGCTTTGTGGCACTGCAGCAATTCATCCCTGGCCTTGTTTTTGCAAATCTTTGTGGCTCAGCTTCCATTTCTCTGAGCCAGGGCAGGGCTGTGAGCCAGAGGCACTCGAGCTGCCAAAAACCCCCAAAAGCACCAACTTTCCTTCAAGTAAATAAAGACATTAGTGCTCCCAAATCTTTCCTGGATTTTTGGCTGCCCTGCCTCCTTTCTCCTCGCTGAATTCCAAAGGCAGGAAGGGAAAAAACAGCAGGAGGAAAACTCCCTTTTAAGGAGGGCTCCTTAAAAAAGCTCCTTAAAAAAGCTTTTTTCGCTCCTCTGAAGCAGCACCTGCAGGGGTTGTGGCTCCGTGGGGATTTTTCCTGTGGGATGCAGAGCAGCAGAAATTTGGGATGAGGAAGAGTTGCAGCCAGTCCGTGAGAACAATTTGGGAGAGGTGCAGGAGCTCAGGGAAGCTTTTCCTACCTGGGCAGGGAGAATTTGGTTTCTCCACCCTCCTTTGTGGCCCCCAGGCTGTGTGGGGTGACGATTTTGGGGTTTTGGAGGAACAGGGAATTTTCTCCCTGCTGCCTGGAGAGGAAAAAAACAGGGAATCTCAGCCTGGGGAGATTTTTCTGGGATTGTTTGGGGTGGGTGGGAGATGAGTGGACACATGAAGGGTCAGCTTTTGGGGCGGAGAGGGCTCTGCTGGATCCATCCCACCCCACTCAGCGGAGTTGGGATTTTCCTGGATGCACAAAGTCCTGCAGGTCCTGAGGGAAGTAACCTCCTCTGGAGCATCTCCATCTGCTGCAGGAATCTGGGATTTCTGTGTCCCTGTTGATAGAAAATCTTTGGAATTTTGCTGTCCCTGTCACCTTTTCCCTTCTGTCCCACAGCATCCTCAGTGCCCAGTGGGTTTCCAGCACTTTCCAGTGGAAAGCCTTTGGAATTTTGGTGTCCCTGTTGATAGAAAAGCTTTGGAATTTCTGTATCCCTTTCGATGGAAAAGCTTTGGAATTTTGGTGTTGTTGTCAATGGAAAACCTTTGGAATTTCTGTGTCCCCGTTACCTTTTCTCTTCTGTCCCACAACATCCTCAGTGCCCAGTGGGTTTCCAGCACCTTCCAGTGGAAAGCCTTTGGAATTTGGGTGTCCCTGTTGATCGAAAAGCTTTGGAATGTCTGTGTCCTTGTTGATAGAAAAGCTTTGGAATTTCAGTGTCCTTGTCAATGGAAATGCTTTGGAATTTCAGTGTCCCTGTTGATGGAAAACCTTTGGAATTTGGGTGTCCCTGTCACCTGTCCCTTCTATCCCACGGCATCCTCAGTGCCCAGCAAGTGCCCAACCCCTTTCAGTGGAAAAGCTTTGGAATTTCTTTGTCCTTTGATGGAAAATCTTTGGAATTTTGCTGTCCCTGTCACCTTTTCCCTTCTGTCCCACAGCATCCTCAGTGCCCAGCGGGTTTCCAGCACCTTCCACGCCCGTTTCTGTGCCCTCTCCAGGACCTACATCTACCGCCTGCTGCTGGGCTGTGCCCACCATTCCCAAATCCCCGTCTTCGAGCAGGATCTGTGCTGGGCTCCTGCAGGAGGGTGAGTCCAGGCAAGGAAAATTAGGGAATCAGGGCTGGAGGGGGGAAAAAAAGGGGATAAAAGGGGATTTTCTGGCTCTGCACAAGTCCCTGCCAGGAGGGGACAGGATTAGAGGAATTGGGAGGGGTTTTGCCTCAGGCTGGGGTTTAAGTTGGACATCAGGAGGGTTTAAGGATCCCAGGAGAGGTTTAGGAGGAATTTCTCTTTTTAAAGGGTTGTTAAATGTGGGAATTGCAGTCACAGAGGACATGGAGATGGGGTAGAGCTCTGATTTCCCTCCTCAGAAGGAGTTTGGGGTCTGAGCCTGGTGTAATTCATTGGTTAATTAAACCTGGCTTAATTTATTGGGGGTTTGAGCCTGGCATAATTTATTGGGGTTTGAGCCTAGTGTAACTCACTGGACTTTAAGCCTGGTGTAATTCCCTGAGGTTTGAGCCTGGCATAATTTATTTGAGTTTGAGCCTGGCATAATTCTTTACAGCTTGAGCCTGGTGTAAATCATTGGGGTTTGAGCCTGGCATAATTCTATGGGGTTTGAGCCTGGTGTAACTCACTGTGGTTTAAGCCTGGCGTAATTTATTAGGGTTTGAGCCTGGCATAATTTATTCGGGTTTGAGCCTGGCATAATTCTATGGGGTTTGAGCCTGATGTTACTCATTGGAGTTTAAGCCTGGTGTAATTTATTAGGGTTTGAGCCTGGCATAATTCTTTGGGGTTTGAGCCTGGCATAATTCCTTGGGGTTTTAGCTTGGTGTAATTTATTCAGGCTTGAGCCTGGCATAACTCCATGCTGTTTGAGCCTGCTGTAGCTCCTCGCTGTTTAGGCCTGGCTCAATCCCTGAGCTCTCTGCATGGCTTGCAGCCCCCTGGACGTGGCTGCCATGAGGGAAGCAGCGCAGTTCCTGCTGGGCACCCACGATTTCAGCTCCTTCCGCTCGCTGCACGCCGAGGCTGCGGCGCAGAGCCCCGTCAGGACCCTGCTGCAGCTGCAGCTGCAGCCTGCACCCGGCTTCCTGCAGCAGCATTACCTGCACAGGTGACTCGGGGCTGGGGAACCTGCGTGGGACGGGCTGGAGAGAGGAATTTTTTCAATATTTACCCTCATTTTGGTGGCTAAAATCCACCTCTGCCAAGGGGTTGGGTTGGTTTTTATTCCTGTGAGCACAGGTGAGAGCCCAAAAAGTCACATTTTTCAGGAAAACCAGGGTGGGACAGGCTGGAGAGATGAATTAGCAGGGAGCAGCTCTGGGAGGGGTTTTTGCACTGTTTTTGCTTATTTTGGTGGCTGAAATCCACCTCTGCCAAGGGATTTGGTTTGATTTTTCCCTGCCTGCACAGGTGAGAGCCCAAAACCTCAAATTTTTAGGGAAAAGCCAGATAGGACAGGCTGGAGAGAGGAATTATCAAAGAGCAGCTCCTGGGAAGAAGTTTTGCAATATTTACCCTCATTTTGGTGGCTAAATCCACCTCTACCAAGGGTTTGGGTTTTTTCCTACCTGAACAGGTGAGAGCCCAAGAACTCAATTTTTTTCCTAGAAAGCTGCTTCCAGATTTTTTAAAATTGATTTTTTTGGGGATTTTTTTGTTGGCGAGGTTGGTTTTTTTATTTTGTTTGGTTTTTTGGGGGGGGGGAATTGATTTTTTGGGGTTTTTGGAGATTTTTTGGTATTTTTGGGGGAATTGTTATTTTGGGTTTTTGGGGATTTTTTCGTGTTTTTTTGGGAATGGACTTTTTGCTTTTGGTTTCTGGGAATTGATTTTTTGGGAATTATTTCCTGCCTGCCCCGTGCTGAGGGTTCTGCTGCGTGACCTGGGTTTTTCTATATTTAATGGGAATATTCAGAATTTTTGGGATGTTTGACACGTCCATTTTCTGTGAGTTTTTCTATATTTAATGGGAATATGCAGATTTTTTGGGATTATCCCAATTATCTGTGGGGTTTTTCTATATTTAATGTGAATATTCAGGGGTTTTTTTTGTCAGTTTTAGGAAATAATTTTATCCCAATAAAGGAGCATAGGTGTCCCAGGTGCTGTCTCAACTTAATTGGGCCACTGCATTTAATTACTCTCATTAACCCATGACTTGTGTGTTAAAAAACCACTTGAAATTTGATTTTAATGCCTTTTTTTTTTTTCTTTCTTTCTTTTTTTTTTGTTTTTTAGTGGATTGGAGTTCTGGGAGGTGAAGGTGAAGAGCAGATCCTTCCTTTACCGACAGGTAAATCAATTTTAGCAAAAAATTGATTATTTTAGCAATTTTCCAGCTTTTGGGCTTTTTATTGGAGCCCAAAATCTCCTAAATTTGTGCCTAAAACACTCAAAAAAAATGGAAAAATTGGGCAAGAAAAGATTGCTTTTAGTATTTTAAATTTTAATAATATTTTTTATATTTATAGTAATATATTTATTACTATAATTTATTGTATATAAATGTGTTCATAAATATATAAAAATGTATGTATATAAATAAATATACATTTAAATAAAATTACATATTTATTTGTATATTTATTTATATTTATATTATTGGGGGTGGAGATTTGAAATGGAGAGTTGGAAGTGGAGATTTGAAGATGGAAAATTGGGAATGGAGAATTGGAAATGGATGATTGGGGATGGACATTTAGAGGTAGAGAATTGGAGATGGAGAGTTGGAAATTAATTTGGGATGGAGATTTGGAGGTAGAGAATTGGGGATGGAGATTTGGGAATTAATTGGGGATGGAGAATTGGAGGTGAACTGGGGATGGAAAATTGAAGGTGGAAAATTGAAAATGGAGAATTGGGGATGGAAAATTGAAAATGGAGAGTTGGAAGTGGAGAGTTGGGAATGGAGAATTGGGCATAGGGAACTGGAAATAAATTGGGGATGGAGATTTGGAGGTGGGGAATTTGGGATGGAGAACGGGAGGTGGAGAATTGCAAATGGAGAACTGGAGGTGGGGAATTGGGAATGGAAAACTGAAAATGGAGAATTGGGAATGGTGAATTGGAGGTGGAGAACTGGGGATGGAAAATTGAAGATGGAAAATTGAAAATGGAGAATTGGGGATGGAAAATTGAAAATGGAGAATTGGGGATGGAAAATTGAAAATGGAGAGTTGGAAGTGGAGAGTTGGGAATGGAGAATTGGGCATAGGGAACTGGAAATAAATTGGGGATGGAGATTTGGAGGTGGGGAATTTGGGATGGAGAACTGGAGGTGGAGAATTGCAAATGGAGTATCGGAGGTGGGGAATTGGGAGTGGAAAACTGAAAATGGAGAATTAGGGATGGAGAACTGGAGGTGGAGAATTGGGAATGGCGAATTGGAGGTGGAGAACTGGGGATGGAGAATTGCAAATGGAGATTCGGAGGCGGGTGAGGTTCGGAGGTGGGTGAGGTTCGGAGGCGGGTGAGGTTCGGAGGTGGGTGAGGTTCGGAGGCGGGTGAGGTTCGGAGGTGGGTGAGGTGTTGGGTGCCAGAGGCACAGCAGGAGCAGCCTGGCGTGCCTTTGCTGGTGCCTCCAGCCTGGGATGGGAGCTGGGCCGGGCGGATTGCCGAATTCCCCCGCTGAGGGTTCTGTGCTGTGCCAGGTGAGGAGGATGGTCGGGGCGCTGGTGGCCGTGGGGCAGGGCCGGCTGGCCCCGGCGCAGCTGCGGGAGCTGCTGGAGCTGCGGGACCCGCGCGCGTTCCCCCCTCACGCCATGGCCCCGGCCGCGGGGCTCTTCCTGCAGCGCGTGGAATACAGCCCCGAAGGTGGGCCTGGCTTCTCTGCACTTCATTCCTAATTAGCGTTTTAAAGTGCTAATTGTTAACAAGTGTGGGTTAATAAATATTAATTCATTATATAGAAAATATCTATTACTATATATTAATTCTATATATTAAAATATATAATTATTTATAGTATATACAATATAATGTAATATAATGTAATTATGTATATTTTTATATATAATTATATGTAATAATATATATTTATATAATTATATTATATACGATATTATATGACATATTATATATAATATTATTATAATATATGGCATGACATTACATTATATTACATATTATACTATATTATATAATTATAATAATATAATTATATTAGATTAATTATATATTAATAAATTAATAAATATTAGTAAATGTGTTGATAAATATTAATAAATAATTGTAATAATGATATAACCATATTATAGTATGTAATGTTATAATATATACTATTATGGTATAGAATTATGTAATTATTTATTATAATAATAAAGAATGAATATATATTAATATCTAATATATTTATAAATGTATACTATATTAATATATCACATTGTAACAATTTATATTATATTATAATTATATTACATTACATTCATTTTGAAATCGTATATAATTAAATAATTATTTATAATAAGAAAATATAATGAATATTATATACATATATTTTATATAATATATATATATATAATTCTCTCTAAATCAGTGTTTTATTTTCCGCTAAATATTTTTTCCCCTAAATCAGTGTTTTTTCTCCTCTCCCCTCTCAGATTTGGCCTCTCCCCCAGCAGAAGAGAAGCTCTGCGGGCTGAGCTGAGAGGAAATTGCAACACCTGTAACAAAATTGTATCATTAATTAAACATTTATAAAAAACATAACATTATAATTTTATTATTTTTGTCTCTTTTCTCATGTTTTGTCTCTTTTATCATATTTTTATCTTTTTTTTTGTCTCTTTTCTCATGGTTTTCTTATGTTTTTTATCTCTTCTCATATTTTTATCTTATATTAATCTGTTCTCATTTTTATCATTTTTTATCTTGTGTTTTGTCTCTTTCCTTCTATTTTAGTATTTTTTGTCTCTCTTCTCATGTTTATATCAAGTTTTTTTTCTTTTCTCATGTTTTTATCACTTTTTAAAATCTCTTCTCATGTTTTTATCATGTTTTATGTATCTTTCCTTATTTTTATCAAGTTTTGTCTCTTTCCTCATGGTTTTATCAAGTTTTTTGTTGTCTTTTCATGTTTTTATCAAGTTTTTCCTTATGCTTTTATCCCTTTTTTCTCCTCATGCTTTTATACCTTTTTTTCTCTCCTCATGCTTTTATCACTTTTTTCTCTCTCCCTTCATGCTTTTATCACTTTTTTCTCTCTCCCCTTATACTTTTATCACTGTCCCCTCTTACAGATGATTTAAAGGCTCTGTCTGCTGGGAAAACTCCAATATTTGTGGTTTAAATGTTTTATTTTCTCCTTTTTAGGGACGCTGCTGGGTGAGCGTCGCTGTGGGGTGAAACTTCAGCTCCTGCCCATGAGGGATGGAATAAAACTCCAGGAGTGAGGGAAGAGTTCAGACTTCACCCCTGTGGAGGGAGCAACTCCTGAGGGGAGCAATTCCTGAGGGGAATAACTCCTGATGGAAATAATTCCTGAGGGAAATAATTCCTGAGGGGAGCAGTTCAAGATGGGAGCAATTCCTGAGGGGAGTAATTAAAGGTGGGAGTAATTCCTGAGGGAAGTAATTTCTGAAGTAATCATTCCTAAAGGGAGCAATTCCTAAAGTAATCATTCCTGAGGGGAGCAATTCCTGAAGGGAGCAATTCAAGATGGAAGCAATTCCTGAGGGGAGCAATTCCTGAAGGGAGGAATTTTGAGGGGAGGAATTTTTGAAGTAATCATTCCTGATGGAAGCAATTCCTGAGGGCAGCAATTCACAATGGAAGTAATTCCTGAGGGGAGCAATTCCTGAAGGGAGGAATTTCTGAGGGGAGGAATTTTTGAAGTAATCGTTCCTGATGGGAGCAACTCAAGATGGGATCAATTCCTGAAGGGAGGAATTCCTGAAGGAAATCATTCCTCAAGGGAGTAATTCCTGAGGGGAATAATTCCTGAAGGTTGTCCAGAGCACTCCTGGGTTTGTGTTCAGGGATGTTTTGGGCTCAATCTGTTGAATTTTGGGGCTGGTAGAACCTGGGGCTGTTTCCTGGCAAGCAGCACATCCCAGGAAAGGGGGATTTGAGGGAAATGCAGGAAATTGCTGGATCCAGGCAGCCCTGCTGGGCTTTTCCCTCTTTTCCTGCTGCCCACATTCCACAGCCAAATTTGGGGCTTCTCATCCTGCCTTGGCTTCCCCAGCAATATCCCAGCATTTCCAGGCTGGACACTGATCCATGGCAGCTCAGAAGGGAGCAGATATTTGATAAATCCCAGGATTTAACTAAACAAGTTCCTCTTTCCACACACTCAGCCCAGCTCTTCGCACTGTGTGGTCTTGAAATGTCAAAAGTTCTTTTTTCCACTCACATTTGGGGATGTAAACACAATTATCTGACCTTCCCTCACCCCTTTTCTTGTATTAACTTCTGAGGACTTGAGTTTCCATCCCCTGTGAGCCTCTGCAGAGGATTTTGTCTTTTCTGAGGCACCAGAAAACCACAGGCCTGGCTTAAAACCTGCTTAGAACTGAGTTTACCCAACAGGATCTGGAGTTTTGGTGTAACACAGGCTCAGTTCTGCTCCTTCACCCCAAAACTTTTGTAAAGGGCTGAGAGCAGCAGAGCAACAAAAATCTGAATTTCCAAATGCAGCCAAAAATTCACCCAGGTGCTTGTCCTTAATTGGCCACCTCATTAATTACTGTTAAAAGCCCAGGCTGGCCTCTGGCCTTTCCCTTCGTTTTGCTCAGAGCAATTTTTAAATCTTGCTAAGAAAATCGGCTCCAGCTTTTCTAAATTACAATCCCTGGGAAGTTCTGGTGAAAATCTTGGCACTGTGAGAGCCTCAGAGGGAGCATCAGCCCCAAATAATCCTTTACCTTTAGCAGAAATTGCTATTTTTATCCCAGTTCTGGGCTTTTAATCCCATTTCTGCTGTGGAAAATCCTAACAGCACTGGAGAGGGAATGGTTTTATCACAATCTTTATGGAAAAATGTAAAAAAATGGATTGGAGGCTCCTTGGAGCTGGCCCTGAGGGAAGGATGGGGAATTAAAGAGGTTTTGCTGCTTGGTTATCAGCACATTTAGGATTTTTTACTTTCTGTAGGTCCTGTGGTGCTTTTATACTTTGAATTTTAATTGTTTCAGGCAGCACTGAGGAGATTTTAGGGGAAATCAGCTGTGGGAGGGGAGAACACTGAGTAACTTTTATTTCAATGTGTAAACAAGTCAATTTTTGACTTGTTTAAACATTAAACCTCCTCAGATCTATTTCAAAACAGGTTCTTGACTCCCTGGATAAAGTTTTTTTCCAGGGGGGAAAATCCCAGTGCTGGTGACTGTCACTGCAGGAACTGGACAAACACTGAAATTCTTTTATTAAAAGCAAGCAGAAAAAAGCATTGAGAATGTAAACAAAATAAAATCTGACCCTGTGAGGCAGCCCGGGCTGGGCTCTGCTCTCATGGGGTGCTCTGGGGCAGCCCTTTCTTCAGCAGGGATGTGAGATAACTGCCAAGCTCTTCATCCTAAAAGGGATACAAAGAAATAGGATGAGAGCAAAATCTTCCTATTTGGGGCAGTAAATTCAATTTTGGTACCTAGGAGTGGACTGAGAGAATTCCTGGACCCTGCAGGATCTGATGTGAGCTGTATTTAAAAACTGAACCAATCCACAAATTAATTTCTGGCTGTTCTGACAAACTATTGCTGTGAAACTCCCATTTCTCAAAGGACCTGAGGGGTTTCCTTTGAGGAGAAGTCCCATTTTTGCTTGAAATCAAGGAATACACTGATTTTATTGCTTTGCCTTCCAAAGGCATTTCCCTGCTGTCAAGAAAGAGTTTAATAATCCAGAAAGTTTAATAATCCAGCCACAGGAAGGGAAGATGATGGGATGACTCAAATAAAAGAATGCTAAGATCACAAATAGTTCTCTACTTGTTTGAAATTTTCCAAGTAAGAAACACAGAGTGAAATACTCGGCAGAGCTCCAACACAGAACTGAATTAATTAAGTGGAATTACCCCAGAAGTTCTCTGCTTTACAGAGCTGTAAAACCATTTCTACTCAACCCCAAAAAGCTCAAAAACCAGCAGGGACTCCCCTCATCTTCCAAACTGCTCCAAAGCCAGAGGAGGGAGGTTTGGGATGGGAGGAATTTGGGTCAGAAGTGAGGAATTCCCACCTGGTAAGTCCAGGACACGAGCAGGACTTTGGTTCCTTGGTCCTCTGAGTGAGCTGTGGCCTGGATCAGGATGGACTCCACAGTGATGGAGCCATCAGGGAGGTGCTGCACTGAGTAATCCTTCAGGATCCTGCACAGACAGAGGAGGAATTTGGGATTTAATTAGGAAAATAAATGCTGGGTCTTCATCCCAAATCCCAGCCTGTTCCTCTCTTGGTTGGCTGAGCCCAAGAAGGGAAAAGGGGCTGACCCACAGCTCATTCTGGAGTTTCCATCAATCATGGAGGATTTCCTGCAGGAATTATTCCTGCAGAGTTCATCCAGCTCCAACCTGAGCCCTGTTCCGAGGGCAGAACTCAGGATGCAGCAGCTGCATGGAGGGAAAACCACATTTCACCATTCTGCTGCTGCCAGCTCAAAGGAGGGGCCCCAGCTGAGCTGCCTGGATTGGCAGCAGCCCTAAATGGATTTCTGATTCCCTTCAAAGAAACCACTCTGCTCTGGCTGGAAAAAATGGGATTCCCAGGGGAGCAGCTTTCTTCTCTGTATTCCTACTCCCATCTCTTTACCTGAGAGCCCCTTAATTTCAAAATCATAGTAATTCAATGGGAGGGGGTTTGCATTTTCCATTTCAGAGGAGGCTCCTGCTCCTCTAAGTTTTGGGTTGCTGCTTGGGGTTAAAAAACCACATGGGGATAAAAAACCACAGGGATAAAAATCCCTGAGGGCTGGAAAAGCCTTGCCAGGGCTCACCCCTTGAGGTGGTTGTAGACCCTGAGCACGGTCTCGTGCTCCTTGCGTGGGTCCTGGATGTGCACGCGGCAGGTGAAACGCAGCTGATGCTCGGCCAGCCCCAGCTCCTTCAGGGCCTGCTCAGGAGAAACCAGCCTGAAACTCTGAGGGGAAAAAAAGAGATTAAATGGAGAAAATGAATCCTCAGAGCTTGGGGGAGTTGTGGTGCTGCTCTGGAGTGGGGGGAAGCAGGGAAGGGCTGAAATATCACAGAGGGTTTGTCGCTGCTGAGGGTGGGACAAAACATCCAGCTGGATGATTGGAAATAAAGTTTTAACAGCATCAAGTTGGTCTCTAGAGAATGGTTTGAGCTTTAGCAGGGGAGTGATGTTTGAAAATGAAGGTGAGGTTGAAGATGAGGCGTCTTTGTTGTGAGGAGGCAGAAGCACTCCTGGTGGTTTGGGGTCTGAAATGTGACAGTGCCTTCAGAGGGCACAAAAAACAGCCCAGAGGGCACAAAACAGCCTCACAGCCTGAGAGGGCACAAAAAACAGCCTGAAAGGGCACAAAACCCAGAGGACACAAAAAAAAACACCCTCAGGTGACATAAAAACCCCCTGAGAAGACACAAAAAGAACCCTCAGAGGACACAACACCCCCCAAGAGAAGCTGCAGGGCTGCTGTACTCACGTTGTCCTTCATGAGCAACGTGCCGTGCATCAGCTTCGGCTTCTTGGCATCAGGTGCAGCACCTAAAGCACGGCCAGGGGTACAGAAACACATCAGGAGCTGCTTTTTCACCCCAAAACTCCAGAACTGAGGCTGGGGCCCTGCTGGGCTTCACACACTGAAATTTGACACTTCTCTGTTCAGTGCTTTGGTGTTTAACCACGATCAGAAATATTGACAGATAAGAAATAATATTTAGTGATACACAACAACTCCCGCTCTTCCCACAGCATTTCCTGACAGAAGAATTCCATTATTCTTTCTAAAAAATTTACTTTATAAAAGTAATTCCAGCTCTCCCAAACCAAGCTGCTGCAAGCACACATGAGGAAGCAAACCAGGCAGGGTGCGCACATTGATTTTAAACATTTAAATTATATTTTTAAATATAATTTTACAGCTTTCTACCTACAAAAAAAAGCAGCAGCAGGGGGGAAATGAGGGTGGGAAGTGTCACCTATGGCTGTTTCCCTTTTGAGGAGACCCAGGGAGATGTCCACGGGGATGGAGGGGTTGGTGAGGATGGTGGTGGTCTCTCCGTTGGCTGGCATGAAGCAGCTGACATCTGCAAAGGGAACAGCAGCAAGCAAACTTCAGCTCCAAGGGGGTCACTGCAATTAACTAGGCTTCATTAGGTTAATTAAGGTGTTACAGGCATCAGTTCCTTGAGGGGAGGTGTACATTTGGCCCTGAGGGCCAAAATGGATCAAAAATGTGATTTTAAAGCTTTAATGCCATTCCCTCCTCTCCCATGGAAAACAATCCTAATTCATGTCCAAGGGATTATTGCAATTAACTGGTCTTAATTAGGGTTAATTAAGGTGTTACAGGCATCAGTTCCTTGAGGGGAGCTGTAAATGCCACCCCACTTAACTCTACTGAAAGATCGAAAGTGGATCAAAAATGTGTCAAGTTTTAATGCCATTCCCTCCTCTCCCAAGGAAAGCAATCCTAATTCATGTCCAAGGGATTATTGCAATTAACTGGATTTAATTAGGGTTAATTAAGGTGTTACAGGCATTATTTCCTTAAGGGGAGGTGTAAATGGCACCCTGAGGGCCAAAATGGATCAAAAATGTAATTTTCAAGCTTTAATGCCATTCCCTCCTCTGCCGTGGAAAACAATCCTAACTCATTTCCAAGGGGGTCCCCGCCATTAACTGGGCTTAATTAGTGTTAATTACGGTGTTACAGGATGAGTTCTTTGAGGGGAGGTGTGAATGCCACCTCACCTAATTGTGCTGAGGAATCCAAAATGGATCAAAAAATGTAAAGTTTTAATGCCATTCCCACCTCTCCCATGGAAAACAATCCTAACTCATGTCCAAGGGGGTCAGTGCAAATTAACAGGACTAAATTAATGTTAATTAAGGTGTTACAGGATCGTTTTCTTGAGGGGAACTGTAAATGCCACCCTATCTAAGTGTGCTGAGGGATCCAAAACGGATGGAAGATGTGATTGGAAGCGATTTCCCGGCCGTGGCAGGGATACCTACGGAATTCCTGCTCGATTTTCTGCCTCAGGAATTCCATTTTCTTGGCCTCGCCGTGGACCAGGAGGACGTTCCTGGGCTCAGCCTGGCGGATCAGCTGCATGATGCCCTTGGCATCGGCGTGGGCACTGAAGGACATGTACTCCACCTGCATCTTCACCTCCAGCTGCAGAGCAGAGCACAGCCTTGGAAAAGTGGGAATTCCTCTGGCACACACCCCTGGGTTAATTATTGCTAATTAAGGATTATTTCTTTGAGGGAAGGCGTGAGTGCCACCCCGCCTAACTGTGCTGAAGGATCCAAAATGGATCCAAAATGTGATATTAAAGGTGCAGCCATTCCCTCATCCCCATGGAAAACAATCCTAACTCATGACCAAGAAATCCCTGCAATTAACACCTTAATTAGTGTTAATTAAGGTGTTACAGGCATCAGTTCCTTGAGGGGAGGTGTAATTGCCACCCCACCTAACTGTGCTGAGGGATCCAAAATGGATCCAAAATGTGACGGTAAAGTTTTAGCCATTCATTTTATTAAAGCAAAAATGCAAAAAAAAAAAACACAAGTGCACCTCCAAATATGAAATTATTTTGGGGTGTTTTCGGTGGTGGAAATTGAAATTCCAACTCACAATTTGTCTCCCCTCCATCTCCAGCTTCCTTTGCCCGCTGAGGATTTTGTGGCCAACGGTTCCCTGGACACAGTAGCCAGGCATGATCACCTGGAGGGGAAAGAAAAAGCAGGAAAATCAAAAATTTCATGGATTTGGTTAAATACCAAAAGAGCCATGAGCTCCAAGAGATTTTTGTCCTTTAATTCCTCAAGAAAAGCTTTGCTGCAATCTGAGGAATTCACTCAAGATGAGAAATTACCCCCCAAAAAATTCAATTTTTTACCATATTTTTCTCGTTCCCTGCCCATTTCCTGAAGATTTGGAGGGATTGTCCTGCGTGGAGCATGCCAGGGGTTGCAAACACCACCTGTAAGTTAAAGATGTGCCATAAATCAATAGAAAAAAATCAAATTTTCCATCCTAAATTTGTGCAGAGCATCTACCAACACCCATCCCCAGTGCTGCATAAATGGATTTTTTTGTTATTTGATTTTTTTCCCCACCTTTGTCTGAAATTCCCAGGAGCTGAGCTGCTGTTTTAAGAAATAAGACCTGGTTTATTTATATTTAATAACAACTAATTTAATTAACTATAATTAACCCTATATAATTAACCTGGTTTATTTATATTTATTTATAAATGTTATTTGTAAGATTTTCCTGGTTTAGGAAATATTTGTGAGCATCCTCAGTGTCTGATGGAAAATTCTGAGAGGTTTTTTTTTTTAATAAACCAACCAGAATTAAAGCAGCAATAAAAGACTGTGTGGAAAATAAAAAAACCCTGCCTCAAATCAGGATGTGTGGATGACATAAATATTCAAAATTTTTATTTTCTCTGTGAGTGTTTCACCTTTACTTAAATAAAAAATATATGGAAAAATATATTAAAAATATATAAAAATATATTTTCAATATATTAAAAATTATATTGAAAAAATACAGAAAAATATACAAAAAAATATTGAATATTTAGAAATAACCTGACCAGGGGAGGATTTGAGGTGGGATTGATGGGGTGGAGGAAGCTCAGGGTGGTTTTCCCTCCAGGATTTGGGATCAAACTGAATAAAAAATTGGGGTTTTTTTCACCTACCATGGGCCCTGGGTTGTCTGCAAAGGCTCTGTCGAATGCTTTGATGTGTTTGAACTCAAACATGTTCCTCTGCACAAAA